ACAGTATGAAGGTGAGAGGAACCTTGCTAAGCCAGTGATGTCTTACTTGGTGATAACAGGCAAAGCATGGCATGCCTCCAGAGCGGAGACTTGTCGAGTAGAGCCACAATGAGGTACGGTGACTGCAAGGGGGCCGTTTCTGAGCCGATCTCCGTGATAGCCTCCGGTGGCGTACGGTAAGTGTCCGATGAATACCTACAATAGCAAAGAGAACGAGTAGGCCGGTCCGCAGTTCCCGAAGGAGAGCGACGTCTGGCCTCCGAAGAGGCTGCACTCACGATCTTCGCTCATTGGAGGAACCTTGTAACTTAGACTAGCGAGGCCGTGTAAGAATAAGAGCAAGTTTCCGAATTATTGTTCTCACAGACCTCTGAAGGATAGGAACATCGTTCGTTTTTCGGGCCGTCGCTTCCATCACCTCTTTACCGTGGACTAATGAGACCCGTGATATAATCCACAGAATGATCGTGAGGTAGTCTAGTTACCAATCCCGGAAAGGCAACTAGGAGTGAACGGTCACCTTGCAATCACCCTGCCATCTTTACCAGATGGATCTCCGCACAGGGTTGATTCTACTTAGCCGTACTTCTGGTGAGGAGGCTGACCCCACAACCTGTTGATTCTCTCAAGGACCCAAAACTTTGGCCCGTTTGTCACTATTCGAGCATGTGGTTTACCAATTATGCGGTGCTGTGACATCTTCGTCTGGATTCAATATGGAGAAGCCTGTCTTCTAGATCCACAAGTGCCTTACACCACGGGCATAATGCTCCTCAGTAGATATCGCTTCCGTGGGCCGTAGCTCCGGTAAAGATTGTATATCCATTTGGAGGCAATTTGATGCATACTGGTCTGTTAATGGAAGTGAAGAGCACCTTGACATCATGCTGTCTGTCGAGCATCCGCTTCCAGCTGATCAGTCTTTGGTGGCGCTGATGTTCATTTTTCCATCTGCAAACCGGAACTCGATACATTGGCGATGTATACTTGACTTCAAGTTTCATAGCTCATATGCTCTTGATGGTGGAACAATTACAGCCGTAGAACCTAAGATGAGTTGTCCTGGTAAAAGGGATCTCACGGTACTTCGGGATTCAGTCCGTCCGCTTAAAAGAAGTCTCAAGACCGCAACTGCAGGTATCGTGGAAGAATTTCCGTCAAATTTAGTTTGTTCATGTGTTCGTCGTGCGCCCATGCTCATCTCGAAAACAGCTGTTGTTGGTCAGCTGCCGGGCAATGCGGAGGTGGCAGAAGTTAAACCCCTGACATAGCGCATGGAGGTAAGGGTTTGAAGAGCTTTTTCGTCCAAATTCAGCAGTTTCGGATACATCATGACCGAGATAGTGGCTATAACCCCGGCATATTGTTGATTATAGACCAGGATTCTCCTGCCGGTCATGTGTAAAGGCCTTGCCAGGCAAGTAGGCAGGCAACCAGGTCTTGTTTGTGACTGGTAGTCTCATGTGATGGCTGGTGAATGTGCAGCGCGCAATCGACACGAATGTTACGGTGATTCAATTGTTCCGCCGGGTCTTGACTGGCTGCACTCAATCTATGAGCTCTTCCAGGCTGTTGTTTGTTTTCGCGGCCTCAATTCTGAGAGGTTTTACCCTCTGTTCTCCAATCTTCGAAGCACTCGCAACGATAATACAGGCTCCTCAGACTGCCGAGGCTTTCGAACGGAATACCTCTTTCAGACACGGAAGACGGCTAACGAGGGGTATCAAAGTCAACAACCCTGCATGAATCGGCAGCATCTTCTCGGCTCGAACCGCCTTGGTGGCGCCTCCAAGTCGTCCAGTACCCCAGTGGGACGTGATATCCACTGTTTCGGAAGATACAGAATAGCCCATTTCAGAAGTGCGGGGTGTAAGTTAATCGTTCCTTAGGCTGTGATGTGGTGCATTAGAATGGACGGATTGGATCGTGGAGGAGGTTCTTCCGGATTACCCCAAAGCGTGGTGCTGCTTTGTCTGGGTGGTTCGACAGCCAATGTAATGCTATGCAACAGCAAGGGTCCAGAGGTGACTTGCATATTTGGGTAGTACGCATGATGCTGTGTTGAAGTTACGTATTTTGCCTAACGGGGCCGTGTTAAGGATAGAATGAGGTTGTTGTGGTCAGGTTTAGGAAATATGGAGGTCGAGTCAAGTTGGCACACGTGATGGCCGACCACATATCACCTATAGTACCTGTCTCTATCAGCCATCTACACATGTCCAGCCAATATCTTGAGGTTAAAATCATGTCTTTGAGTTCACCACCTCACGCTGCCTGGCTCTTCGTACAAACATAACCCTGAGTTAAGCTCAACCCATATACAGTTTAAGATGCGAGAGCGTCAATGGACGCATCACAAACACCCGATGTAAACCACCCGCATCAATATAATCTACAAGGATGCGTACTTCGCAATACTACATCTCATGTCCTTCCCGCAATTACCAACGTTGCAAAGAAAGGGGAAAAAAGTATCATCCACATGAGGAACCCTAAATCCTCCCGAGACGCCGTATAATCATCCCTTCCAATTTCCACCCCCAAAAAGCTTTTGCTCGCAAAAACAGTTACCACCATCGCTGGCTGTCAGGTTGAGGTGTTACCACTGCTGTTCGCCTTTCCCCGTCAATCGGTGGACCCCGTTCAATTGCCTCGATATTCAGAACCAAAGCACTGAATGACATTTGCCTGCCTCTCCTGCTTTCTTGCGCATGTTTGCAGGAGAATTCGAGTGCAACCAGATGTCCTTTCCTTGTCAAAACCGGACTGGCGGGACTTCTATCCACGGATATCTGATATATGGATGTTTTTACTTTGACGGGGCAGTCTCTGGTCACGCTCGTAGAGATAACCACAGTTGGCACATAGAGTCTGAGTAATGTTAGCAATGAAAACGGATCCGCCAAGCCTCGAACTTACTCTTGGACCTGCTGGTCCATCTCTCACGGCCCAGACGCTTGTGCCCCATATCCTGCAGTGCATGCACCTCCATTGATATCTCTCTTGATCCGTCAAAGCGCCGCCACCTCCATATCCTCCCACGTCTGGTGTCCCTCGCCCTCCCGGTGTACCACCTCGGCCAAGGGGACTCAAGCTTCGGAAACGCCGCTTCTTTTTGGATCGTTCGCCTCGCCCCATTCTCTCCTCCTCGACTTCCATCGGCGCACCAAAGGGCGTGCCTCCGAGCATGCCTGTTGTAGAGCTGAACCGTGCCGTCTCACGGCGTAATCGACGAACTTCACGTTCTCGGTCGCCTTCTCTCTTCTCAATCTCTTCCTTGCTCAGGAATTCCACCTTCGGCTCCCAGTCATCTCCAAGGTGCTCCGGGTCATACCTCCAGCCAGCCTCTGAGCCATGGGCGGCATCGTTTGGTAATTCCTGCTGCATTCCACCCCATCCAGCAACGAGGCCACCAGCCTCGCATGCTTCCTTTTTCAGCCGCAGAACCGCCTCGTAGATGGCATGCGTCATTGCTGGTATCCACTCTCCTGTCAGCCCGAGGTCTGTACAAGTGACCTTGGCGAACGCTTCAGCAGTTCCTGGCGGATGCAATAGAGACCATTCAAACTTATCAGTGTAGAGCATTGATGCCAGATTAAGGTTCAAGTTGATGATGCATCGATAGGTATCGTCAGGGTTGTAGTCGTCAGAATCAGGAAGAATGGGCGTCGCCTCTGCGGTGACATCTGGAACTTGGGATTGCGAAGGAGTGGCCGCGCCTCCTGTCTGCGCCGGCGTGTCAGGCCGGGAGGCACCTCGGATGGCGGAGACTGGGGAGTCATCCCGAGACTTCAGCACGAAGCTTGGCCGCGGCGTCAGTGCAGCAGTCGTGGGCTGTGGAACAGAGGGAACCTGCGGGTCACTATGAAATAGTGGGTGAAGGGCAACACCCGAGTATTCTTCAAGTTGCGTCCGGATTTGCTTGCTGATATCAGCAATGACTGCCTGCCGATTTGGCAGATCGAGGTCCTGCACTAGAGTTTGGGCAAACTGATCGGTAGAGATAAGGGTCTCGTGGAGATTCCAGCAAAAGATGTCCCGAAGTTTATACGGCACTGTCGCCTCCTGTTGGCGATACTGAGGAAGTGAGGTGTCCACGGTACTAGAATTATGCGGCATAGGATATGGAGCCGGTGGGATGAATGCGGGGACATCCACATCGATTCGAATCGGAATCAGGGTGAGAGGCAACGTTGCTTGTACGGCATTCTGTTGGTCGCTCCTCAGCAGCCTGTGTTTGGCAATCCAATCGCGCCAGACGCCCTGCACCTCGACAGGCTCTTTGGTGTCTTTGCCAATCTTGTCGGCGAGATCTTGTCTGCTGACCGAGTCCTCCTTTCGCAAGCTCCTCAAGCCTGTCGGTCGTCGTCTGGGATCATCGCTATCATCTTCCAGGTCATCATAACCATCTTCGGCATAATTTATGATCGTTGTCCCTCGCTTTGTGGTTCTCGAAGTCGGTCCGGCAGGCGCACTGCTTGGTAGAACGGGCGTGAGGAGAGAGTTGTTGTAGGCGCGCAGTCGCGGCGCGTAGCTTGTCAAGAAAGCCTGGGGCTTTGATCGTTCCATTGTATGTGCTATGAGGTGTCGATGGTCATCTCATGCTGCGGAAAAGGAGCTACGCCAATACGCGAAAAGTCTCTTGTCGCTATCGCCAGATGCTGAGACAGATACAAGCGATTCAGATGCCAAGATTTACCCGACGATGATAGCACTATCGATGCGGGCTAAAGGTGTCGAGATATGTGGAGTTTTCTATCTGTCGTGATGGCTTCAACGTTCAATGCTTGATGGAGTCGCGCGAACGGGGACCTTTTTCTCAATCGCGTTGCTCGTTGTTCCACCAGGTTGCAGGGGAGTGCACGGGCCAATCGACTGGCTGTGATTATATAAGCCGGTTGCCTACCCTGTAGCCACCGTATTCTTTTATCACAGGATTGAAGGACGAGATGGATATCATGAAGAAAGGTTCTGATTTATCACTACTAGCAAAGCAAACTCTTAGTCTCACCACCTATTCCATCATATAACACCGCATGTGATCGTTTAATCATCGCATCCTTTGTGATGGTAACCGTAAGGACAGGGGTCTTCACAGTCATGATCATCCAGCACACTGCACAAACCGTCAGTTATTTCTCTTTGACTTGATATACAGAGGACAACATACCGATCTTCACGGGAAGAGAATATACAAACTGTATAAAAAACGCAGTGATTGTCACGATCATATGACCGACCACATCCGATTTGATCTGCCTCAGGCGCCATGCATTCGTCTAGCCTATCAGTTGATGTGAATATTACAATAGAGCGTAGTAATCACTTACGATAGTTATGGTAGTCTTCTGATTCACAGTTGGGCCTGTACATGGCAGTGAGCCAGAAGTTCGCAGCAGATTCGAAGGTACGCTTATGTGGTTGACCCGCGCAAATGGCCGAAGTCTCCGTGTATACAGTTCTCCCCGGCTTCGTTCGGCTAGGTGCCACCGCGCCACAGCCTAAATGGATGGCATAGTCTTGCGCATCGGAGGCGAGGGCAGTGTCCCAAATCAAAGGACCGCGCCCCTTTACACCACGTGCTGAATTGAGCCTGAGGAGGCCATGCGTGATGTCTTGCGATTCTATAACCGAATCTCCGGGACGGAAGTCCATGCAACACAACGAGGCAGCAAGAGTTGTGAGTCGCATGTTTTGAGGATACAAAGACGGCCAATCTGGCGAGGAGAGATGATGATGCTTGGTGTTTGATAAGGTGTGCACAGCTATGAATGACAAAGGGATATCGGAATAATGTACGAAAACGGAACTGGGAGAAGAAAAAGAAAAGAGAACGACAAAAAGCAGAAAACGATCCAGGGAGGTAAGTATATAAGTTGGCAAGAAGAAGTCTTCACTTCATGGGAGGAAGGAAGGAAGTCGGGTCTATGTACCTGCCTGGAGATGTGAGGACAGGGGACTCACGATTCAATTGCACTTAAAGGCTGTTATAAGGAAGGAGTACCTTCTAATTAACCACTATTCGACACATTGTTTATGAAGACAGGATCAGAAGCACAGTAGGTATCATTATCAAGTTAATGCTTAACCTTAGGCTAGAAGATCATTAGCTTATCGTATAAAAAAGTTACATATTCTCTACCTAACTTCCGGGATATCTAGGTAAGATGCTCGAGGTAACGCAGGCATATATGCTTCTTTTAATGCCTACTACGTGAGTCACATTATTTTGTAGCAGTGAAAGGCGTGTAAGTGATAGGAACGATATGATTCGCTGACCTTCCACCATCTTTCCTAATATGGATAGCCCCACAAATGACGTCTCAAGACCAAGACCCTTCTTCAATTGAAAACATTTCCCCGACCTTCACCTTCCAAGTCAATCGAATTTCGCAAAATGGCCTCACGAACGCCTTCTTTCGCCTCTAAAGTTCTGCGTCGGCTGCCAACGCAACCGAAGCACCTCTCACCATTCTTGCGCGCTCCTCTTATTCGCCCTGCCACTACAAATCTTCAGTCCTTCCGCGAAGCGCATAACATTCCACGACCACCTACCCAAACATACGCCAAACCAAAACCTGAGCAGGCGCAAACAGGCGAGACGCCAAAAAGCGAAGGAGAAAGGCCCGAGATCAAGGCATCGCACTACCAGTTATCATTTACGTGCATTCCATGTGGCCATCGCTCTCACCACAATGTCTCTAAGCAGGGCTACCATTATGGCTCTACGCTCATCACATGTCCCGAGTGTAGGAACAGACACGTCATCAGCGACCACTTGAACATTTTTGGCGACAGAAAAGTCACCATCGAAGACCTTATGAGGGAAAAGGGTCGGCTTGTTAAGAGGGGAAGCTTAGGCGAAGACGGCGATATTGAGTTTTGGCCAGAGGAATCTCTTCCAGCAGACATCTAAGCTGGTAACACCGAGAGCTCATGATAGTCTGTGGCTAGAGGGCTGTAACAATAGAGTGAAAAAGATGAGGTTTGTAAGATACCTAGGTTGAGCAAAAGCATTGGGTGGCGTTGATGGGATACCCTCCACTGGGGGTCCAAGACAGACACAAAACATAGACCTGGAATTAAAATAAGCTTAGTCTCCTCTGTCCTAAGCCTTGGGTATTCTTAAGTGGTAATATTATATTCTTATCACATTGATTTTATTATAAATCCGCACTTATTAGCTGGTAGTTTGGCCGAACATGAGAACTGGACGACCATCTGTTGGGCCTGGTTGGCCAGTAATACCACTCTTGCTCAGGCTTTCATCACCCTTGTTCACTGAGCATCACCTTAACCCTCTGCAGGCGGCATGTAAGTCCATAAGCTTTATCAACACACAAACCAACACTGTGCTTTACCAGCTTCATATCATGTTCAGCATGGTTCAGAATCCAGTCACACGCGCCAGAGGTGACAAGGGAGGGCAGACTACAGTAGTCAGTGGACCTTTACTAGCGAGTTGTGCTACTTGAAACAAGAATACCTTTATTTCAGTGTAAGTCCGTTACAAATTGAAGTCACTTTACAGTATACTGCATATTGCTAGCACCGTCTAAAGAACATAGCTCTATTTGGCCAGCGGATTCTTTGATGTTTGACTAATAAGCTCAAAAAGTGTTACAAGATCATCCTGCTCCTCCAAAGACAACACTATCTCCTCAATCTTTTCTACTACTTCATTAGCAACAATGTCCTTTGTTAGTTGCCTCCATTTGGCCACTATATCTTCGTTAGATAGAGGTGGATCCACGCCAAACGCATTCGGCACACCGTGACGTAGGACTGTCCCGTCTTCAAACTTAATCCTCACTTCTTGACAGCCGATTGAGTCACCATCAGTAATATGGAGTCTGCACTCAGTGAGATCGACAAGTCTCCAGACATCCTTATCAACGAGCATCTCGGGGGTAAACTGCGGCATCAAAACTTGTCCATGAACAATCTGTGTTGCGGTCGTGAACGAGTTGCTCATCTGGGCTCCTGTTGCTGTGAGAGGCTTGACGGCTCTCCAGCCTCCGTGATGGAAAGCAGCTTCGCCAAGAAGGATGTCGATTTCCTTTATCTCGTCGAACCCCTTCATTCGATCAGGATTTTGTTCCTGTAGACGGCGGATACAGCCAATGCTAGGATGTGTACCTGCCATCGCTCCATACGGCTTGATCCGAATACCGTCCGTCTGCCACTTAGTTCCCAGCTCGCTCGTCAACTCTTCTAGTCGATATTGGGGCTGCTTCCCATTTCCAGAACTGAATTGTTTAAAGAAGCCTCCATACTCGCGCTCGAAAACTCGCTTGATACCCACATAACCGCCTTGTGCTAAGACAGCAGCCAGAAGACCGTTCCGTGCTGCAAACCCATGGTGCATGCGCTTGACGTCGCTCTCAAACTTGGCAGACATGAGCCCACACGCCTAGGTACACGCTATCCCAAAAGAATCCTCGATCTTGTCTGCATTGAGCCCGTAAAGCTTGCTCACGCTGGCGGCAGCAGCAGCAGGTCCGAAGACTGCTCCAGAATGCCAGCCTGATGAGAGAACCTGTGTGCCCCAGAGGGAGCGTCCTACACGTGGCCCTGTCTCGTAACCCGCGATAGTCGCGAGCAGGAAGTCTTGTCCGGAGGTTGTGGAGTGAGATACATGTGCATTGGCTTGTTGCGTAGCGGCAAGCAGAGCTGGCAGAATGATGCTGTTCGAATGAAGGGGAGCCCCGCTGTGCCAGTCATCCAGCTCGAAACCCTGGATAAAAGTTCCATTTAGAAGCGCGGCAGTGAGAGCGGTAACCTTGCGTCCTTCCCACCTGATGAGCGACGCATCTCCCTGCATTGGCTCCAGGTTGAGGATCGCCTGCGCTGCCGTCTCGGACCAAGGTAGATGAGATCCGACAAATGCACATGCCAGTCCATCGAGGATTAGGTACTTTGCTCGAGTACGAACTCGCTCCGGGATGTCATCCAGCTTCAGCTTTGATACCCATTGTGACACTTGCACCGTCGGGCTTGATGGCTTAGGCTTTGGTTCACTCATGCTGAAGTCGTAGGCGGATGGAGAAGAATTGAAAGGACACCACTGCCTTGGGTTACTCAAGCCTCTTATACATGACCTCTTTGCGGTGCGATTCAGTATGCGATCCCAACGGCATGTTGCTCAGGCTTTCCTGTGCGGTCGGCTCATCAAGTTGAAGGCGTCGGAGTCGTCTTAGTTCAAAGTCTACTACGCAAATGTGACCCCGGTTTCGACCGGAATTCCGAACAATGCCATAGCTACGAAACCCGGCAGTTTATAAAGAAGAAGCCACAAGGAGGCCCAAGATCACCTCTAATGCTATAGCTGCATTCTGAACTGGGCCATTCCTAATGAGCTTCGGGATTCCCGTACAGTGGTAGTTGATTATATTACTACGGCTGACTATACTAATGCTAATCTCCTGGAAGTATGCGTCTGTACTGGAGGCTCGTGGGGAAGTCATCGTCGGAGTTCCGAGTCATAGTTTACCCTCAGACTGCCTCCGTGCCACCCCCGCCAGATCCTCGAGGCTATTGAAGGTTCGCATAATCCGCCCTGATTTCAGGTCGTGGAAGTATTAAAACCGCGGGCATGGGCGAGAACTTTTGATGGAGGCCATCCAGCTTACTCATTAAAATTCGTATTGTACCACCTAAGTGTCAACGCAAATACCATCAAGGCCTCAGCAATTTATCATGTCTGAAGAAAAGGCTCAGCAGGGTACCTTTGAGAGTGTGACAGAGCAAAGAAGTCCTGTCACTGGCGAGAGAATGGCTCTTGTCACAGCAGCTGAGGAGAAGGCTGTACTACGCAAGCTTGACTTACATATCTTGCCTCTTCTGTTCCTGGTCTACACCTTTTCCAATTTGGATCGCAGCAACCTGGGCAATGCTCGTCTTGCAGGACTGCCAGATTCTGTGAATCTAGAGGGCAAACGCTACGACTGGCTCGGAACGGCTTTCTATGTTGCATGTAAGTCAATGAATTAACACAAGAGGCCAGGTTCACCTCGCTGATAAGACAATATATATTTGTTCTCAGTGGACGGCCGTTGGGTTCAAACGATTTCCTCCACATAATTGGGTCTTCTTCTCTGCTATTGGGTTTTCGACTATATCAGCATGTCAAGCCGCTGTCACCAATTACGCCAGTCTGGTCGCCCTACGTGTGCTGCTCGGTTGCTTCGAAGGCATGTTTTCCGGGGTGCCTCTATACCTGTCCTTCTTCTACCCCAAGGACAAAGTTGGCTTCCGCCAAGGCATCTTCCTCTCTGGTTCTGCCCTTGCAAACGCATATGGAGGCGTTTTGGGCTACGCTATTTTAAGTATTCGGGGCTCAGTTGCGCCGTGGCGATGCCTGTTCCTCATTGAAGGGTTGCCAGTATGGATCGTTGCCATCCTGGTCTGGTTCTATCTCCCGGACGATCTTCTCAGCGCCAAATTTCTCACCGACAGAGAAAAAGAAGTTGCTTGGCAGTGTGTTGGACGCGGACAGACTGTCGACTCACAGGGCGCGGGAGGGGTTAGCTGGGCAGAATGGCGTTCAGCATTCTTGGACTGGCGGAGTGAGTAGTTCCATTATTCTTTACAGGTTCGGACTGATGACTTATTGTGTTAGGTTTTGTGCCAGGCTTGATGTACTTCTCCTGCAACGTATGCTTCGGCTCGCTACCTCTCTTCGTTCCGACTATCATCTCCGAAATGGGCACATTCAACCACCAGGCAAGCAATGGACTCTCCGCTCCTCCATACGCTCTCTCCTTTGTCACGATTCTAGCATGCGCTTTTGCTAGCGACCGCGCCAAATTGCGTGGACCATTTGTGGCCGCTGCCGCCATTGTATCAACAGTAGGATACTGTCTTCTTGGCGTTTCAGAGGGGGTTGCTGCTCGATACACCGGAGTCTTTCTCAGTGTGCAAATCTTTGTCAGTATCAGCATTCTTCTTCCATGGGTTTCCAGTGTACACCACACTGAGAGCAAGCGCGCTGGTGGATGGGCCATCTTTGCTACGCTGGGCCAGTTTGGGCCCTTGGTTGGCACGAACATATTCCCCAAAGACCAGGGACCGTACTACCACAAGGGTGCCTGGATCTCCTGTGTGTTTACCTCCTTGGTCGTGCTACTCAGCATGACCTACTCACTTTTACTCCGCTGGGAGAATAAGCGACTGGACAGAGCAATGATTGAGAATACCGGTCCAGGAACGGAAGACGATGATCATCCCAGGGGGTTCCGATATGTTGTCTGACCGGATTTATACAGTGAAGCCCAAAATAACATTCGGTTACGACCAGAAGGCCGACTTCTTGTACTACTTACACATGGACACAATACATAATGATATGCAATAATCGTACCGCCCAGAACGATTGCGTCACATACAGAAACTTGGAAGGCTACCATATCAAAAGTGCGATGATGACTACAGTAACAATCACGTTCATGCGCTTGCTAAGAACTGCCACACCTCGGGACGTTGGATTGGGGATAATAGAGATTCCGCTTCTCTGTGATCTAGACACTTTCCAGTAAAAAGCTATATGCCGGAAACTCGAACCCCGCGTCGATCAGGCACGGTAGACCCGAACTGCCGAAGAACCCGCAGTCGGAATTCCATACATACATAACTAATGCTCGCCGATCGTGGGGAAGTTGTTCCATCTCCTGACCCCGAATTCATAAGTCAATCGTTCAGGCAATACGGCAGCCCTTGCCGAACTGTCTCCAGCAGCCCTAGGGGACTCAATCATGCGTATGACAAGTCGCATGAAAGCCTGTGCTCGTTGTAGGCGACAAAAGGTCCAGAGGTTCCTTGCGCCCAGGAAAATTGAATTTTGCTAATTCATGGCTTACAGTTGAGGTGCGACTTGTATCAGCACCCTGGGCAACCATGTTCACGTTGTAGACGCATGCATCTAGAATGTAACAATAGAGTGGAAGCTCCAGAGGCTACTTTAGAAGCTTCGCCAGCCCGGTCTAATCGGACGACTATAGGAACTTCCAGCAGTGCCTTGATCTAGGCGCTGCAAAGCCATCACTTGAAGATGACTCATCATATGCTATACGATCAGGCCGATCTTCATCGCTTTCTGAAATCTTGAGTCGAGAGGATATCGCGATGAAACAGATAGACGATTGCTTCGCCCGGTAAGCGTTGTCTACCACACACAGTTGATGGATCACTAACTGAAACCGTTAGGTTCTTCAGCCACTACAGTAAGCTCCTACCTGGACTCTTCAGTGAAAACGATGTAAGCTCCGAATCTTACTTCAAAGAGTCTTCTCTTCTCTTCTAGACAATAATTGCCACAGGCGCCAGGCACATGGAGCACGCCACCAAGCTGTACCGGATAGCTGCTCAAGAGATCAGAGTTGGAACGTTCCAGCCCCTTTTGCACATCACGAACCCCATCCCAATAATAAAAAGCTCCCTGATTCTGTGCATCTGGCCTCTACCGGTAGACACAATGTGGAAAGTCCCTTCACATGTCCATGCAGCCACAGCCCATTCTCTCGCTGTTCAGAATGGGCTTTTCGACAACGGCCACGAACAAGATTTTGCACGGACGCACACTTCTTTGACCAAAGAGATGAGAGATACTAGGTCTCATCTCTGGCTCAATTGATGTTTGGTATTTCAAGCGTAAGTTCTCTTGTCTGTAAAATGATGGTAATTGCTCAAGGTGAACAGTACTAGCCTCTGTGATGGCTTTCCGTATCTTTCTATTGCTGAATCCGAGTCCTACCAGAGAAAGGCTAGGCTCGAGGAGATCGTGGACGCCTCATTTCATTACCGCCTCGAGTGCCATGACATCTTGATTGATGCCACCAGAGCATTTGGCAACATCATAAACGAGCAGGGCGAGGGCAGCAAGTCCCTGCTACCCCTGATCAGGATCTTCAGTGAACAAGTGAAAATCCTGCCACTTCCTCTCCGTGATGACTTGTGTATGTGTGAGCTGGCTTCACAAACAGTATCATTGGACTGAATTTAATTAACTGACCAGGTTACCTTACCCGGTGCTGCACCCGTCTCGCAATATCAGCCTACTACTTCTTCTTACAGAGTCATGACTTCAAAAAATCAGGCTTGGTCACAAACTTTTCAATGGCCACGGAAGTTCTTGATGTCGTGTCCCGCTTAGATGCTATGCAGGATTTCGCGTTATACGCGTCAAACTCCTATACCCGCATGACCTTGCTCGCGGCGTTTTGCATCCTACGAATCGTTCGAAGCAACCTGAAAGAGCACATTGACCTGCGTGATGCTCAACAGTCGTTATTCAAGGCGATATCATTCGTCAAAAGGCGGTCCATGCAACACGGCGACCTGGATGAGAGGTATGGGACGATCCTCTCGCAGTTGTGGTCAAACAGCGATCCGATGGATACTACTGCAGCTAATGGGTTGGATCTGAGGATTCGTAGTCGTTTGGTACGTGCAAAAGAGAACACCTTCAAGTCTATTTATTTACCTAACTATCATAGTTTATGAGCGTGGTATTTGACTCTCTTTGGTGGTGGCGAGTCGAATATAACGGGCAAGGCAGTCCATACGACATGAACAAGACTGCGTCAGAATCTGCCCAGACAGATGCGACAGATGCGGCGGATGCCAGCACGTATTGGAACTCGACAGCTATGCCTGTAGGCGACGGCTTCGGGGCATCCAACTTTCCCGAGGTTTACATGGACTGGAACTTTCCTCTCAATATTGATTATCTTGGGTAGAGAAAGCACGGATGCTCCAAGGAGCTACATACAGCGTCTTCTATGCAACGCGTTTTGATATTCAGCCTGGAGTGTAACATGACATTCTAAGGCGTATCAGTCCACGCCACCTTGGAAGTTGGAAGCTCCAGCATCCTCATCAATTTTCATCGACTCGTCGAGCCCGCATACTCGAAACAAGTCCTGTGGCGTAAGCTCGGTATCTGCCAAACCGGTTTCCTTCAGCTTTTGCAGACCAGCCTTGATTGCAGTATAAGCCGGAGCCAGCGTAGCCAGCGGCACAATCATCATGCTGAATCCCAAGTCCTTTGCTTCTTTAGCAGACAGTTTCGGCGTGACGCTATTCTCCACCATGTTCAGCAATACAGGCCATGTTGCGAGATCAGCGATCATCCGCCGCGCCTCTTCAACTGACCGAAGACCCTCAGGGAAAGCAACATCAGCTCCAGCATCGCGTGCAGCACGGAGCCGTGTCAATGCTTCTTCATATCCATGCTTCTGGATAGAGTCTGTTCGTGCGATGATGACTATGTCGCTTCCCATCCTTCGACGTGCTTGCACGGCAGCACGTATACGGGCCAAATACTCGTTCAAGTCCACCAGGACCTTTCCAGCGAGATGTCCGCATCGCTTCGTCTGCACCTGGTCTTCAATATGTAGCGCCCCAACACCTGGGCGCGAATATTGTTCAACTGTACGTGCCACCATGATTGGTCCGCCGTAGCCGGTGTCCGCGTCAGCAATGACAGGCGTAGACGGTGACAAACTGGCGATCATTTCTGCGCTCTGCCGCATATCGTTTAGTGTTGCGATCCCTAGGTCAGCACATCCGTGAACGGATGCTGTGAGTCCTGCTCCAGTCTATACTTGTCAGTGGAACCTTTGATGGCGAACCATAGCAGACTAACCATGTACAGGACATCAAATCCAACCTCGAGCGCAATGCGCGCAGAAAACCCATCGTATACACCAGGAGCAAGGATGAAATCACCCGCTTCTATCCTTTGGCGTAGCAACTTCCCCGCAGTAATAGTTTTGCAGACATCTTCTCCTTGCGAGCTCATGACTGAATTGTATGGCGTAGAGGAATGCTGTTCTGGTGAGATTTGAGACTTATCTAGGGAGACCTATGTTGAATTGTGGTTTATTTAATTCAGAATTAATACGTTACGAAGCCCCTTTTCGTATATTTGCTAAGGGTGGGTTGGGGTGGGACTTCGGAGTTCCTAACGATGACAAGTTTGAGCGATGCTGCACACTCGGAATTCCGAATATCTGGTCCAACTCAATCATGATGATGAACCCCAGGTCGCGAGTATCAGTACAGGACGTCATGTTGTGTAAAGACCATACCGCCGTCCCCGGGCGTCGGATGAGGACTTTGTACTGATGGATGGCGTATAGATATCCGATTATTGGATTGTATTGGATTGGAAACTCCAGGAAAGACAGGAGTCCAGCTCATGCAGGAGAAGGATATTGTTTCAACTGATATGTAGCCCTTGCGTGTAGAGATAGAGAAATGAGTTACAAGTGGTAATAGCTGAATTTTCTTTTCACCTTCTTCTATAAATGACTTTTACTATATATCCAGATCATAACGCCGAGGAACAATTTACCTAATGTCACAAATTCCTAACGCCAGTTGATGCAACGACGTCCATCATCCTTACCACCGCTTGAAAGACTGTCGCATGACCTTCTGCTCCTTTGACCGAGTCTTTTTGCGCTCCTTGTTCTTCTCAAACTTCTTTCTCTTATCTCTTCCATACTTCTCCGGCTGTGCAAGCGCCTCGATCTTTCTCTTGCTTGAACGCTGTTCTCTCTTGGTCCTCACCTCCTCTCGAATGGCAAGAAGCTGCTTGGAGTACTCAGCCGTACCAAATTTCTTTTGAAGGGAATCCATGAGGATCTGCGCTCTTGTCTTGAGGGCCTCGTGTTTCGTCTTGAAGAGTTCATCGTTGGAAAAAGGAGGTGCAATGGAGGGGTCAGTAAGATTGTGAAGGGGCACGAGGATAGTCTTGAAAGATGGTCGCAGGCGATCGGGTGAAGACCTCCGGCAAATCGTTTCAAGAAGTTCCATCGCAGCCACCTTTGGTGTAATGGCCACAGCCCTAGGGGGGATCTCTCGTCGAATGATGTGAGAGATCTTCCAGAACAGATGTTGAAGATCAGTCTTTCGTTGAGTCCCCTCAACCTGCTCTTCTTCTTCCTCCTCTTCCTCCTCATCCTGCTGCTCTTGCTCGACCTCATCATCGGACCTCTCACCTTCTATTACAGGTCGAAGAGGGAGGCGAGGAGCCAAGAAAGCAAGGACCTGGACAGCTTCCGCTCCGAGCTTCTCGTCAATATCTCGGGTTGCCAAGACACCCAACCCAAGTCTCACCAAATTCTGGACCTTCGGCAAATCAAGTGTAAGGCCATGACTACCGACAACTGCTTCGCCAACCGCTACATCACTGGCTTGTTGAGCAAAATCAGCCAAGTATGAGCTTGTTAACCCAATAGATGACAGTTTGACCGAAGTTGATTGGTGTGACAGGCATCTCAAGATGTTGGACCACATCTTCTCGCTGCTGCTTGACAGAATCTTATCGGGGAACACAGACAACGAGACCCGGATGACTTCAAGTGCCGCCTCCAAGAGTTCTCCATCGGCCTCTCGAATATCCTCCGCCTCAATGACGCTGTTGATCTTTCCTAGAACAAGTTTGAAATCCCTCTTGTTCTTGGATGCGTTTTCGTCGGACTCCAGGTAGAAGCCGAAAACCTGGAAGGCAAGCTTGAGAACTACCTCATTTCCATCCTGATCCAACCATGTTCGCACAAGTCCAAGGAAAGTTTGAGTCCTCTCCTTATCAGCCTTGCGGAATATCTCCTTTAGTAGTCCAGCAGCTGCAACTCGACACTTCTCGCTGTCGTCATTGGCGAGGACAAAGAAGAGCGGAAGGAAACATGTGGAAGAAATCTCTTGAACAAAGTCATCAGATGACTTCATAAGAAGCAGGTGAACAATCTCCATAACAGACAGCCGACCACCCTCTCGCTCGTATTTGAGATTGGCCACAATGAAGGTCAATTGCTTAGCCCATCTGGCCTTCTTCTGGGGATATTCACGAATGAATTGGAAAAAGGCACCTCGAGCAAGGTCACGAGTGTCCTTATCATCATTGGTAATCATGACTGTGCCAACATAGTCAAGAGTGTCGTATACGGTAGCGGTTTCCAGATGTCGGTCCAGAACTGAACGCAGAAAGTTGAATGTGACATGACGGTAAAGGGGTTCAGTAAGATCGTCCTTCAACTTGGCAAGTAGCATATCAACCGCTGCATCCTTCACGACAACGTCACGACGCTCTCGAAGGACAACAGCCAGCATTTTGAGAGCTGCTTGAGATAAGTCGGTTGTGGTAGAAACTGCCGTGGAGATGCTCTTGGTTGCTTCCTTGACCGCAACCCTGTACAACTTTGATCCCTCATCGTCAAGGAATGGCACCTTGACAATGACAGCAAGTAGTCGGAACGCTGAGATCTTCACTTCGTCCTCTCCGCCAACCATAGCATCGCCAAGAATGGGAATAAATCCGGAAATGTTGGTAGGGGTTCGCAAGCTATCGTGCTTCTTCAGTATTGCCCTCAGAATGTCCACCGCGAAGCGAATTAGCTTGTATGTGTGTTTGGTCGTTTTGCCTCGATCGCCGCTCTTCTTCGCACCCTTTTGGACAAGGTATTTCTTAACTCGAGGGTCCAGTTTCTCCTCAACCTCAGGCTTTTGAGAGTTGTAGACGTCCTGAATGACCTCATAACAGAAAACAAGGGTATCGCGACTTTCGGCGGCAGGGTTTTGCAGAAGTCCGGCAGTAATACGCGCCATCAGGGTATCAAGCTTCCGAACCATCTTGAGATCAACCTTTTGCATTAGAAGTGCGCGCAGTGGCTTGACCAGTGCGATAAGCCGACCAATCGAAGCGTTCTTGGCTATAAGCTCCATCGAATCTTGACTCTTGCTGCTCTTGATCTCCTTGGTCTGGGTGGTATAGCCCTCAGCGTCCTTCTCTTGACCGATGACGCCGAAAATATCATCCATAATGACCGTTACGACGAATGTAAGGCAGTAATCCAAATCACCAGGAGAGCAGATAGGAATGAGTGCAACCAGAATTGAGTGCATGGTGTATGAAAGCACATGGAGCTGGTAACCTCTGGTTAGAGCTCCTCGCAACTCCTTTAGGATGAAGCCAAAGTACGACGAGCCGAGAATAACAGCAATCTTGACTAATGTGTCTCGAGCCATGTCACGAGCTTCAACAGACTTGCTGCGAAGAATGTGACTAATATCAGTCAAGACACCAGCCAGTTTCTGGTCCATTTGATCCAAGGGCAGCAACTTCAGAAGTCTGACAATGATCACACCAACGGGGACACGGTAACTGACTTCCGACTCGTCTTTTTCGTGAAGATGCTTGACAAGTGTGGGCAGGAAGGAGTTAGTAACCTCTATGCTCAATTTCTCTGCCTTCGGAATAGTGAGGGGGAGTCTGGTGGTGGCTGATGAGGATGCATCAACCTCATCAATCTCCATGCGCTCCTGCGGTGCATTCTCAGCTGCATCGACAAGTGCATCGGCAACCTTGCTTAAAAGTCGAATTGTTAGCTTCTGTTGGTCGGGCTTGGCTTCGACATAGCCGATGTATCTTTGGAGAGTGGTGCGGTAGTGTTTCCAGTGCAGAGAGGTTGCAAGGTTACCGATGGTGATAATTGCTTGAGCACCAAGCCCATGATCATCAACTCCATCAGCGCGACCAAAAATGAAGTGCTCAAGGAGTGGAATGAAGAACTGGGCCAGGTTCTGGCTTCCCATCTCCTTCTGCTTGTTGGCTGCCTCCAAAATGTGCAGAGCCTCCAACTGTTTTGCGGTTGCAGGACTAAGGATATTGAAGAAGAAGGTCAGCTCAGCGCTGTCTTCGGTACGATCATTCAACAATGCGCTGAGGTCAGCTACAGGTTCCCATTCGGGCATTGTTGATAAGAGATGACCCATAACTCGAAGATACTCTCGTCGAGCTGTGTCGGATGGCTCCCGGGCTCCGGCGTAAAGAGCAGGCATGATGACACCTCTCAAATGAATGTCGAATTTCCCCTTCGAAATTTCGGAAGAGCATGTCGCTGCATCCATGATGAAACGCCGAAGTCCATCGGCCGAGTTGGACGAAAGAATACCGAACTCAGCATCGTCTCGAATATGAAAAGTCAAGTTATGTAGCAAAGGTAGCCACTGCTTTGGAGTCAATTGAGTCTCCCGATCGCCTGAAATTGCACTGTAAGCGGCCAGGCGTCTATCATAATCCGGCTCATCGATTCGGCCCTCTTTGAAAGAATTGAGAGCTGCACAGAGACCAGCAACTTCCTGGAGGCTGCCATCCTTCCCAGCAATAGCCAGCATTGCTCTGGAAAGAGATTGTCTGTTTTCGCGATCTTTAAAGTAACTGAAAAGAGACGATATAGTGTCGTAAACATTGTCGAGAAGTGCTTGGTTCTCAAACGCACTGGAACGAGTGACATATTGTTCAACAATGAGCAGGATTCTGCCCTTGAGCTTGGGACTGACTCTCCGCGGAGGTTGGTTCAGAAGGAAGATCGAGATCTCAATCACGGCTTGGATATCCTCGGTGTCCTGAACAATAGGAGCCATAGTCAGGATTGTCTCTACACAAGCCTCCATCAAGTCATTGCTAATACCGGACATATCCAGAACAGTAGAGATCTGTGTCAAAATTGTTTTCGAGTTGGTGTCGAGAAGCTCGGCTTTGATGACTTCATTAAACTCGGACTCCTGTGCAGGCGCAGTAGCAAGTTTGATCAGGTTTCGAATTATAGTAAGGACATGAATCTTGACTTCATCCTTACCCTTCTCAATTGAAAGACATTCAATAACTTTGGGAAGAATACCCTCAGAAACCTTGCTATGTGGTGCAAGGAATAGTGCAATCCTGGGGAGAACAGACCAGGTAGCAAAGAGCTGCAGCATGCCGGAAACCCCTTGTGTTGTCTCGCTGGGCAAGTTTTCTAACCTTGGGGCCACAACATCCTCAAGAATGATATCCTGGTATGGTGCCCATTGGAAAGATTGGGCGTTTTGGAAAAGGGCGATCAAACATTTTAAACCAGTTGATCGAATGACCCTGAGAAGAGACTGCGTGCTAGCCTTCTCCTCCTCTTCTTCAGAAGAGTTCTCTGGGCCCATACCCTGTCCGTTAAGTTCACGGCAGGCAAAAACAAGACAGTACAAGACAGCATTGAGAAGTGTCTCCAAATAGGGCGTGGCGTTGGTGCCAAGTTCTGAGATGACGGAGGAAATCATGTTGAGGAAACCGACTTGCTTTCTGATGGGAAGGATAGGCTCCTCGAAGATCGTCTTTGAGGCGCCGACAACCTTGACATCTTTCAGCTTGCCCGTGGCAATGTCCAAAAAGCTCCCCATGTCTTCGACACTGAGGTTTCGAAGGACAGCCAGCCGAGTGGCTTGTAAGCCATGTCTACCACTTGCTGCACCCTTCTTGGAGATTGTACGACCGTAAAGCAATCTAAGGAGAACAGGCATCAAATCAGCCCTGTGCTCCGGCTTGATTGCGTTCTCATCTTGAAGGAAAACTGTGAGCTCATTTTTGAAACGAGCTTCATCTAGCAGGAACTCCAGGTTTTCTTGATAGGTCTTGATCGCCTCCTGTTTCCAGGCGAGAATGGCCTTGAGGGTAACCTTCTGTACCTCAACGTCACCATTCTCCATCAATTGCATGAGCGCGGTATAAACCTCTTCATGCTGGTACAAGACCCGAGGGTTGATAAACTCTGAAAAGACACTAAGCATAGCCTTGCGATCGGCGAGAGACCAAGTGGCACCTTCGGAGACATTTTGGTCGTTTACTGAATCAGGGGTTCGGTCTTCACTCGCCCAGGCCAAGAAATGTGGCACAAGTAGACGTGATCTCCTCTCTGCAATTGAGGGAATCGCGTTAAACACTTTCAGCGCACGAGACCTAGAGTTTCCAGCGGTTGTTTCCGCAGTCCGCTGCTTGTCATCGAAACTCTGCAGCATTAACTCATCAGGGTGATCGATAATATTCTCCACCTCAGTGGCGACTTCTTCAAGTCGACGCACATTAGTGCATTCGAAATCGGAAACGAATGCGGGACGCGAGCTTTGAGTTTCAGGTTGTGAGGGACCCCAGCGAGCTGAGGGAATCTTCAGCCAGCGGAAAGCAACCTCACAAATTGCCTCTTCACCGGCCTTGGTCTGTGTGATCTGCTTCATAGTCTCCACCGAATCATCCCACACAGGCGACAGCTTGACTGTCAGCATACCAAATAAGAAAGCAGGCACAGCTCGTTGCAGCCAAGAGCCCTCCTCAAACGAAGCGTAATTCTGACCCAGCTTGCGAAGATGCATGGCGATTGTCCTTGTATGTGCAAGACTTAACGGAGTCTCCTCAATCTCAATCATAGTCTCGACAGTGTTCCAGTTGTCTGGCGTCGGGCTGAGTGCTTTAAGCAGGTTCAAGGACGCTAGCCTCAAATCGTGGGATGGGGAGCTCAGGTTTTCAATCAATGATGTAGTCACTGGATCCTCCTCACTGGATGAGCTATCACTACTGGTACTGTCTTGTCTCTGGGCCATCTCCTTGCTTTGCAGGATTTCTTCGTATGCGAGATAGGCATGTAGAAAGCTTACTGACTGGGAGAAACGTGGAACAGCAGCACGGAGCAGGGGGCTCAGGGTAATGTCCACGGAGCCGGCAGCCTTGCTCATACGAAGGTAAGAATGAAATCCTTGACCAACAATGAAATGAACTTCGTCGGATGCCAGGGTAGATGAAGGGCGAAGCGCGAGCTTGAGTTTCCTGAGCAGAAGTTCGGCGATACGAGCATTTGTTGAGGGGTGAACTGTCGTCAACTCAAGTATCTGGAGAAGAGCCGAGTACTTTGGCAAGCATCTATCTCGCCAAACTTGGGGATCTTTGTTATAAGGCCCCCTTTCAGGAAATGGCGAGATCTCTAGGCGCTCGAACTTGGAGACAATCTGATCCTGCCAACCTTGTGGCATTCTGCAACTGTCTTTCTCACCGGCTGGTGGAAAAGCACGATTTTCAATCATCTTTGGTAACAGAATGCAAAGCATGTCCTCATTAGGCTCCTCAGACCAGTGGTTCGCAATAAATCTAACACAGTCAGCAAACAACCTAAAGCCTCTCTCATCAAATATGCTTACCTTTGAAAATCGTTGCGGAAGAGGCTTCCAAAGCGCTGGGCGTCCAGCTCGCAGAAATAAGAGCAAAAGGGGATGAACCACTTCATGAAGGGCTCCCTGCTCAGTGATTGAGTAAGAGGAACGATATGGGGTATCAATGCATCGATAGGTGCATGGTGGCAGACAATGGCAATATTGACGATAACAAATTTCCAAACAGCACTTGCGGCATCCTGTGGCACCTCTAGACCAGCTTTTGAAATCCCAGATAACAGTTCGACAAAGTTCTTGATAAGTGGTGCCCAGTCCGTAAGGCGATTTCCTTTCCGAACACCAGCCAGGGTGCCGTATATCCTGAAGAGGGGAACGGCTTGCCACTGACGATCAGCAGGAGATACACGCTCCATGTTGGCTCGAACGGTCTCATGGACTCCGGTGGCAAAATCTCCAAAAGTATCAACAGTCGCATGGTGGATGACACTGGTGAGAACGCCACAGACGATGTCGGTCCAAATGGTGTCTTCGGTAAGAGTTCGCTCCTCATCAGGAATTGCATCAACGAGAGCTGCAAAAACAGCCGGGCCAGTTGAGTGAATGATATTGTCGGTACCCTTGATTGCCTCGGCAAACATATTCATCAATCCATCCTTATACAAAATAAACTGGCGGTCATCCTTAATACTCAAAAGATCATCTCGCGCACATTCGACCAGGCGCTTCAAAGCTGTCTCGCGGTGTGAGGGGGCAGCCGCCTTCTTGACCAAAAAGCTAAGGGCTTCAGCCGCAAATCGAGCAATATGGGGAGGGTGTCGCGACTTTCCGAGGAGGGGTGACATGACGTTAAAGGTAGGTCGCAAGTCTGGTACAAGAAGCTTAGACAGATACTTGAACAAAAAGGCGAGGGCACCAAACGTCCACTCTATAACATCGACATCCTGGGGCTTCGCAGCAATAGCCACAATCAAATCCAAACTCCTGCCATAATGTTTCTCGAATCGAACTCCCAGATCGTGAGAGAAGGCGGTGAGAAGGTCCAGTAGCGGCTCCAGAGCTTCCTTATCCTGTCCTGCTATGAAATCGGCCAACAAATCCATTATCCTCTGTTCGAAATGGAGGAGTTGCGGGAGGCTCTCGCATAGCGGCCAGACCTTGGTTTTGAACGCAGAAAACGGTTTTGACACATTGAGTTCTCCCCATTTCTGAAGTCCGGTCTGGAAGTAGGACGTTGTCGTGGAAAGGTCTTCGTTATCGAGGTCATGGCGGCGAACCTTTCGCAATGGTTGGAGCGAGTTGAATTTGGATATTTTCGTAGTAAACGACTCCCATCGGTGATTCTTTTGATGGGGTGTTGTGTTTTTGTTCTTCCGCGCCTTGGTGATGCGCCCTGACGAGTTGGACGGCATCTTGGCGGTATTGCTTTGTGGAAGGACAAAATTCTCAGACAATTTGAAGATCCAGATCTTGCTGCGAAAAGAGCTTCACATACCACGAAAATGCGTCCCTCCAAAACTTTTTTGCCGGCTAATAGGCGGTAAAACCGATAAGGTGACGCTAATGTAAGAAGCCCCACTATGGCCAATCATAGGCGCGCCGCATCCTCTTATCTTCCTTAAGCTCAACGCGCTTCAGTATGCACTTTCATCATAGCTCCTTCATTCATGCCTGAGAGAGAAGTTATCGTGACAACCTCACAAAAACACAACCACAACCAAAATGGCTGCACCAAAAATGTAAGTTTCGCTGCAACTTTACTACCTGTTTTTACGGACTGACAATTCGCATAAAGTATTGTTTTGGGTAGCCTCAATGGCCAGCTTGAACCGGCGTTCAAAAAGCTAGCGACATTACATACCAAAAACAGTTTCTCCATGGCCATCCTCACAGGCGATGTCTTTAGCGCAGCCCAAGACGATGGCTCCGTGAACGCGCTTCTAGATGGAACCATCGAAGTCCCTCTACCAACCTATTTCACCGTCGGAACCCACCCACTCCCTCCTCGTATTGCTGCCAAGGTTGAAGCCGAGGAGGAGATATGCGAGAACCTACATTTCCTGGGCAAGCGCAGCATTACCAAGACGTCCGACGGTATGAGGATTGTCGCTTTGGGTGGCCAATTGGATCCCAACCTCATTGCAGGACTATCTAAGGAACAGCACCTCCCATTTCACACAGCGGATGATGCAAAGAGCCTGCGCGGCGCGAACAACGCTGATATTCTCTTGACGTCAATATGGCCTGCAAGTATTTGGACTGGCTCTCAGGTTGCGCTCGATCCCACAAACCAAACGTCACTCAACGTTTCGGACAGTATTGCAGAACTATGTGCAGCGCTAAAACCGCGCTATCACCTATCAGCTTCACCAAAAGCCTTCTTCTACGAACGAGAGGCTTTTGTTCACCCTACCGAGAAGGAAACGGATAACACTTGCGTCACTCGCTTCATTTCAATGGCGCCTTTCGGCAATGACGCCAAAGCAAAGTCTTTGTACGCTTTTAGTCTCAACAAAGGAGACGCCTCAGTGCCCCCTGGCGCGACAGCCTCACCGTTCAACCCTAAGACCAAGAAGCGTGCACCCAAAGATGACTCTTACAGTCGATACGGGGGCGATGATAACAGCAGAGGACATAGAGGCCGACGCCAGAAGCATCGTCATCGGTCGCCGCCTCCGGGTCCTGATCGATGCTACTTCTGTCTCTCCAATCCCAACCTATCTGCCCACATGTGCTGTAGTATCGGCGACGACGCCTACATCTCCACAGCCAAAGGTCCTCTGCCAACCTCAAACACGTTTGCGGAGCAAGGCCTTACCTTTCCAGGCCACTTGATCATCATTCCACTACCACACAACCCTACAATACCTAGTATCGGCCCCGTCACTGATCCAGCAGGAGAAGCTGCAAAAACATACAATGAAATGACACGCTTCCGAGAAGCTATCCAAGCTATGATTGCTTCCAAAAGCTCACACAAGCTCGGAGTCGTCACGTGGGAGATCAGCCGAGATCGCAATGTTCACCTTATCTGGCAACTAATGCCTCTTGCAGCCGATCTCATTCGCAAAGGCGTCGCGGAAGCCGCTTTTAAGGTCGAGGCGGAGAATCAGTCTCTTCCAGCATTCACTGCTCGGGAGCTCACGCTCGAACAACAGGCCGAGTCAGGGGGTGACTTCTTCCGTGTATGGCTATGGGCGGACGATGGCGAAGACCGTATTAAGGGCAAGGTCCTCGTCATGCCTCTGCCCTCAGATATGCGGTTCGACCTTCAATTCGGACGTCGTGTGCTAGCTAAGCTTCTTGGTCTTGAAAATCGTATGGTATGGAAGGATTGTGAACAGACTGTTGAGGAGGAGACGAAAGACGTCGAGGCATTTCGGGAGGCGTTCAAGGAATGGGATTTCACTCTTCAAGATGTTGTTGCTTGAGTTCTTCGGTTTTGTATACTATACCAGATGCATGGGCGGCGTTTAAAAGAAACGAGTTGTGGGTGGGCTCAAGGGTTTCTTGATATAAGGAACCGTGATTTTCTTCCATCTGGTCTGAGAGGCTCTGAATAACGATGCGGAATAGATGCCCGTCTTAGAAGACTACAAATAATGCTGCGTGTCTCATTAAAATCTTGCGTAGCGAGATCAACAAGCATTTGATGTCATACCATCTCGCAGAATCACACGGCAAAGCTCAAATCACGTTAAGAAGCAGCACGTTAACTTTTAACTGTTTTGTCCCTCAATTTTCAGGTATCTAGCCAGGGGTACCTTCAAAGTCAAGTGATGTACAACTAGCAAAACCACTTTTCGCCAGCCATGTGCATCTTCCACGCTGCTCCGCCAGCTAGATTTACAGAAAGCATCGCAGTATCAATCTTTCATAATACTGCGACATGCGGCCTGTGCCTATTACGGACAGAGAATAAATACATTCCAGGCCTGAGGGTGATATGTAGTTTCCATCTTCCCAGCATTTCCCTTGTGGGAAGGGTTTGTTTGAATATGTAGTGAAGAACAAAAAAAAAAGAGGTGAACCATTCCCGTTTTGTAAGGTCAGGGGGTATAGGTGCGACAATATGCGCAGATGGGATGTTATAGGGTGGGTATCCATGATTTTAGGATACTGGTATCAAAAAGACTGTCGAATAGGGTACCGAGTAACAGATGCGAGTCATGCTGTGCCTGGCCAAAGTATTGCTTCTGTAAAAAGGGGTATTATGTGTCCCCAAGGGTGAAGCCACTGAGAGGCCGAGACATGTGGTATCGAAATGTCTATTGCGAACAGCGCCACAGTCGTCAGGGAAAGCTTGTTCCCGAGACATGTTTTAGAAGCCAAAAATGCAAGTCCGGAAATCGCCAAAGCAGATGTAATTGAGTGAAAGGAAAGGAAAGAATAATGCGCGCCCTAATGCAGAATAGGAGTAAGTTGGCTCCTTGGTAAATGAGGTTCCATCGTTGGACCATGTACGTAAGCGTGAAAAGTCGAAAACCATGAATGGGTCTGTCTGCTGATGCGTAAAACGTAGAAAAAAGAAAATATCAGGCGATGAGTGAGAACTCGTGTCAGTGATCTAAAAGCGAAGAAGTCGTTGCGGTCGTGGTGGTGCTATGAGCATGAGAATGATTAATCGTAGTGAAGATTAGTTGCAAGGCCAAGTTGTCGAAGCAGAGCATAGCATGTATTACTGGCTTTTGAAACGCCGTGGTCGGATTGACCGTTGGATTCATCAAAGCGGATGGGGTTGTATGAAGAATCCCCTTGACAACATTGTTGGGAGGAGACGGGAGAGAGGAATGACCATAGACCTGAAGGAGCAGACAAGGTGAAACCAGCACCAATAGAGTCGATCTCTACCACGTGCAAAACAGACCGAGTCGTAAAGATCAGAACGTCTAATAAGAGGCCATACGGCGAGCATGTGATCGGTCGCCGATAATAGGGGAGGCACCAAGAAGGGAGATTGGTGCATGGAGATTTCGTGACTGAGGTCTGCTGGGAGCAGTTGGTGACTCGTCCACACAAGGCTCACGCTGACCAAAAGCAAAAGTAGCGGCACGGCTGAGACCTTTACGAGATTTCAATCGACCCATTTCGCGTTCGCAAGTGCGCTGGTGAGCCTCATCTGACATCTCAACGTATTCTTGAGGATAGCAACGACCCCGGTGTTCAGTGAAGAAGCCAGAATAACCACCGTCTAGAATGTAGACTTCAGGATATGTAAGTCTGGGGTAGAATTCAGCATTCACAGTGCGGTCCTCAGATCGAACATGACGAGCCATCAGGGGGGCACGGTGGGCTGAGTACTCGCAGTGGAAGATGAGAAGCGTCCGTCCATCCATAGGAGTCTGGAAGAGCTGGTTTGTGAGCAGGTCCTTATCATTGTAGTTGACAGCACCGTCAATGTGGCCACCCTCATACTCATACTCAAACCGGCAGTCGATCACGATCTTCTGGTCGAAGTGGGAGCTGTACTTGCCATCCAAAACGTCGACCAGTGTCTCTCGAGTAATGCGAGGAATGGTATCGGTGGGGTCTTCCAGGAGGAAATGGGGGAGGACGGGCTCTTGAGCCTCCTCCACATCCATAACCGATTGAAGCGCAGAGGACGTAGTCTCCTCTCCCTCAGAATTGCTCTTCATAATGTCAGCGGGATGCTCGAACATGCTCAGTGACCGACGGAACTGCTTTCGATTTCTGAGAAACGGATTGGACTGTCGCCGGGAATGTGAGTTCATGGAAGGAGAGCCATTGTTGCGAGAGCATGCATTGAAGTTGAGGAATTGGGGTCTAGTGCGGCCAATAGAAATACCAGGGCATGGGCTGTTGGCAGATACGGGTCTGCGCTCCTGAGGTGGTGATGTCGACTCGAAGCATTCGCTCAGAGACAAGTTGGAGCTGGTATGGTTCAGGCGAGAGCCAGCACCGAAGCGGAACGGAGGCAGCTCCGTGTCAGCCTGACGACTCGGTACCGCCGTGGTACTGAAACCCTTCATCCGAGTTAGGGATGGTCTTCGTGGGACAGCTATTCTACGGTTTCTGAAAGACGTCAGTTGTAGTTCCAGGAAGAATGTGGGAATATGAGACTGACTCGGCCATGATGGGCTTGGGAGGTTCCAAGGAAGACTGCCGAGAGATAGGAGCCGGTGAGTCAAGTACCATTTCATCGTCAGCGGCTGGTGTAGACCCCGGAGTTGGAGAAGTTATCTCGAACTGGGTGAAGAAGGGTATCTTGTGAGGCAGAGGTGATACCTCCATCAACTCCTTAAGCTCGGCCAGTGGGGCAGGCGACGAGGACGGTAATGGGGGAGTCGTGACTGAATCTGTAGGAACATGCCAATTAGCCACGAGGTTCTGTGTTCTAGACCTTGTTGGTCTTGCTCACCTCGACCTTCCAAGCTGCCCATCATGCCAGCAGTGAAGAGTGCTCTTCTGGGAGTGGGGAACTGGGGACTGGAAGTATGTTAACCAAGACACTTTAATCCGGTTACCAGGCGCCGTAACGAACCTCGAATCGCTGTCAAGTCGGAAGTTCTGGGAAAGATCAGCAGCCAAACTCGCAGCGGGCGAAGAGCCTCGTACGTCCTTGACGTTGAAATAGTCTCCAGAATGCTTGTGGATTTGCTCGCGTAGACTCATGCTTGCAGATGTGACAGAGGATGTAGCGTAATGAGGGTGCCCGCGAAAGACATCTCGACTACCCCAACTAGGGAGCATTGAAGGACGGTGTAAGGCCGCCAGAGGTGAAGAGGCTTCCATTGTGAATGGTGGCAATGAAGCAGCGGGGCGATTCGAGGGAACCCGAGTTTAATCGAGTTCTGTCGAAGCACGTCAGCTACTAAGAGCTACTCGATATCAAAAACACCGCGATGGAGGGGATTGAAGAGGTAGTTCTGCAGTAAGTCAATGCTGCAGTAACACCTCTATAATGCTATTAAACGAGCGTCTGAGCAAATGCCTTGAAGCCAAGGTTTGTACAGACTGAATTGTATTAAAATCGACTCGTGGGCGAACCAAGTATTAGATGGATGATGGGAGATTAGCTCGTGGCGGGGTTTCGACGATAGCGTGTGTCGGTCGTTACAATCGTTCGAATGACATTTGAAGGAGGGACGAACGAGACTCGATAGAGACGTAATCGTGAATGCGTCCGACGACAGGGAGAGACGTCGCCGTTACGATTATAAGGCAAAGAGTCAAGTCGAGTCGAGAAGACGTCGAGGTCTTAGTCTATCTCGAGAGGGATCGAGATGGTTGAGCTGATCCAGACCAAGTGCCAAATTGACCAGGGGTGGGCGTTGCTGGGCGGATGGCGGAGGACCAGAGTACTAAATCGCACAGGTCTCAAATACGCACAGTACAGTACAGGCGATGGGAAAGATAAGGTTACTGAGTACCGTAATGCTAAAACTAGCACACAGAGACAGACAGAAAGCCTTTTTTCCAAGAACGAGATTTGAATTTCCCCCGTGTTTCTTGTCTTTTAATGCTCTTCCCGTTTTTCTCTGAACCTGTTCGATATCCGAGGGTGGGTGTCGAGTTCAAGCTAGTTAGTACTACTGTTGGCTGGATCGAAGGACTGGTTTGGGATCCAATTGATTGAAAGAACGAGCGGTTGTCGAAGTTGGATATAAAGGTGGCTAGCCGTAACCGTATTTGCCTTTTGGAGAGACTGTCAGACGGGATGAGTGGGAAGGGGGAGCAAGGTAAGATGTGAATGCGGGAGCTGAAGCCTTTTGAATGGATTCAACCAAGCCCAGTCCAGGCAAAGGCTTGTCTGGTTGGAGTTTTTTCCCAGGCGATTCCCACCAAGGTTGTTAGGGGTGATTTAGGAGCGTGCTGGGGCCCTGGGGTCGCTGGGGAGCACCGACTTACAGTGGAGTTTAGTGGACGAAAGCTACACGCCCAGGGCAATGAAGGGAGAGGTGTGAGGGTGTGAAAGGGGCGTGTCGAGCCAAGTCCACCAAGATCCCACATTGGATAGATGCCGTGCCTTCGGTGGGCACCTCACTTTCACATCTCACTTGCACCTTCAGGGCCTCAAGGCAAGGCACAAGGCACCGGGCAGCACAGCAGAGCTCCCGTAGGTCGTTTTGCGTCCTGCAGCAAAGGCCTGCGCTGCTGAAGCAAATCATATCTCTCGCCAGTCCCCTCCCCAGCCGGTCTACTGCCCACTTACCAGGTATCATTCGATGCTGAATGGACGTCGCCCCGGAGGACAGCGCGCGGTTGCTCAGCGGAGGTGGGGATGTCACCTTGGACCTTTGGTGGCATCCTTGTCCTGGATTCGTCTGGCGCTTAACAGAATAAGACCAGGGCATTGTAGGCACCTTACGTAGTATGGTAAGGTCAAGCAGCACCTCAGTTATGGTACCGTGTGGGAGCTTGTCCTTAGCCAAGGCAGGGCAGAGCTATGCTATGTTTGTGAAGCTGTGCCTTGAATTGGATGATATGCAGTTGAATTTGGATGTTTTGCATCACACTTGGTTCTGCCAGGCTTTCCTGAATTAGTTGACGAGATAATCCTGTTTACTTTCCTTGAATAACCTTTGATAGCGTCTTGGGTAAGGTAAGGTATCCTGATTGTCATTTATGTCTTTCAACTCAGTCATGTGCATTCCCGGCTTCTAGAGCTTCCATTAACTATAATGGATCCATTGCACAGACATAAACGTCAGGGCAGTTCCAGTTCGCATAAAGAATACCACCCACGGA